TTCATTTAACAAATAAATAAGGCTMAGCTCGCTTTCAGCTCGTGCTTCTTGACATTTTCTCGTGTGTTTCAAATGCCAAGCGTGCGTTTACCAGAGTATAAACCACAGGCTGATACTTATTTATTTGTTTTATTATATAGATTTTGAGCAAAACTTAAGCAAAAATCCATTTTGTTGCCGTTTTCAAAAATCTCTCKCGCACAATCGTGGTTTATACTCTCATAAACCACACTTTATGGGCCAATCAGAGCGCGCGTTAGAAATCATCTATATGATAATTGGTATCAATCAACCAATCAGCATGTTCGCGCATGCGTAAACGCCCTCTTCTTTCAATTCTTAAAAGAACTCGGTGTACAAGACGTACACTTCTGCGCATGTCTGTCCTGAATTGTCAGCTTCCCATACATTCTTCAAATCTTCTCCGTACCAAATCCTAAACTCGTCTCCCACCATKACCATCATAGTAGGAGAAATATTAGGTAAAACYAACACWTCACTGTTATAACTATATCCAGTAAGATCATAGCCCATGCGTGTATCTGGCCTATCCAATGTATAGTTTTCTGGTGGAGTAATTCTGAAATTATCGTCGTCAGTAATGTGAATTGCTATTTTCGGCGGGAAATTCCGAGAATAACTTCCAGATCCCCAATTTCCAGSAAAATGATTGCTCGCAGATTTTAAGCTCCCAGAGATGTGGACAAGCTTAAATGATTTGATAAGCCCGTCCTTGGTGATGATGATTTTTCCGAATGCGTCRCCCTTGGCTCCGATGCATATTGGTKCGGTKCTCGCTTTGATCGCTGAAACTGRAAWAAATATCAGCTAGTGCCCAATCTTCTTTATCACTCACGGTAATCATGATAACATCTATCATTATCAAACACATTACATTAGGTAAACACAATTGAAAATCATTATATTACTGTGACCAAATCTTTTATRTGAGCAAGTCAATTGTCCTGATTTGCATGCGACTAAGTAATATTTTATCTTGAAGTCTTAGCGAAATATTTTTAAATATTAAAAGTTGGAATTTGATAAGCAATATAAAATATTCGCGTACGACTTTATACGACCTTTTGTATACAGCAATTTGCAGAAATTATGGTGTTGAGACATATTCAAAGTATATATACAATATATCAGAAATTATGGAATATGCACTAGTACTATACRAAAAAATATAATCTCTTATATATCATATATATGAACAAAAAAAGATCATTGTACATATTGCTGTATTATACACTATACAGCCTTTTGCAAAAATTATGAGAATTGTCGAAATATCTAAATATCTTAATATCGAGTGCATGATGGGTAATCCCGCGCGATGCCCTTAGTCCCTTGTCTTTGTAGTTTAGGTTTTATTTTGGCGGTAGACTTATCCATAGTTCTGAACATTTTCTTGATGTCAACAATGAATTATTCTAGCAAACCCGCGTGTTCCRGAAAATATATGGATATGRATATTATGATATTTAGATATTTAGACAATTCTCATAATTTTTGCAAAGGGCTGTATAGTATATAGTATCACAATTTTTCAATATAGTATATACCATCACCACTGTTCCTCAAACTTACCATTTCCTGGTAATGTTGGTGGCACTGTTGTTGT